TTTTGGTATAAGTAGTGAATCCTATAGCCAGCACCATCTTTTTTGTATACTTTTTATTATGAATTGAGTGAAGGTTTACAGAGATCATCAGTTTTACATTCAACAAATCATGCTTTATTTTAGCTCAATGATTACAATTCCCTCCATATGACAACTGCTTTCCCACTTCCTCCATTCTTAATTTCCATTCTGCCCTCCTTCCCATCCCTTCTCAACTTTATCCTGAGGTAAATTTTGCCCTTTTGATCTTGAATGATTGACCATCCTATGGTGAGCAGACCTTACTAGTGTTATTGTACCCCCCTATATAAGGAGCTCTGGTAGCATAGTGGTTATGAGTCAGGCTTCCAACCTTAAGGTCAGCAGTTCAAAACCACCAGCAGTTCCATGGGAAAATGATGAGGCTTTCTGCTCCCTTAAAGATTTACAGCCTTAGAAGCCCTGTGCAGGGTCACTGTGAGTCGGAAACAACTCCACAGTACTTAACAACAACAATCTATCTACTAAAAATTGGACCATAAGAGTAAGTTCTGTTCCAGACCTGAAGTGTGTTCAAGGGCCATAGTGCCAGGTTCCTCCAGTCTCTTTCTGACCAGTATGGTTTTGGTTGTTTTTTTTTAAATAATTTTCAGGTTTGTTCCACATTTTCTTTCACTCTGTTCAGGACCTTCTAATGTGATCTCTTTCAAAACAGTTGGTAGGGTAGTTGGGCACCATCTAGTTTTCTTGGTCTCAGAGTTGTGATGACTGATATTCTTCACATGTTCCTTCCATTAGTCTATTGGACTCGTTGATTGTAAACATCTTCAAATTTTCACCACTCCTTTCTTCCGCAAATGGAGAGACCAATAATTGCACCTTAGATGGCTGCTCATGAGCTTCTAAGTTCACAGACACTACTCACAAAAGTAGGATATAGAGTATTGTCTTTGTGGACTTTGGTATGCCAGTTGACCACAGTATCCCCTGAGAGTATGGTCCTGAGCACCCAGGCTCAGCAACTCATTGTGTTTAGATGTATGATAGCATCTAAGAAGTTTTCACCATTTTGTCTTCTTTATGCTCCACCACATTCATAGCTGTTTCAGCACTGTTTCTTGGGTAATCTAAGAAAGATTATATACTAAATTCCTATATCTACTCTTTTTTTTTTTTTTTTTTTAAGTTTTTATTGTGAATTGAGTGACAGTTTACGTGGGAGAGAATCAACTTTACATTCATCCTATCATCTTTCGTTTCATTGCAATGATTATAATCCCCTCCATGCATCATTATTCAACAGCATTTGCTTCTGTTCCCTCTGTTTTGTTTTGTTTTTTTGAATGTACACAGAAGCACTAAGGAATATGTAACCATTCAAACAATCAAAGGATATACCCTGCAAGCCTGCCCCCGACCCACCCACCCCTGGCCGCCAGCTCACAGCCCCTCTCCCTCCTTGAGTCCAGAGTCCCCAGCCACTCCGGTCTCTCCACGCCATATTCTCTGCCTCCATCTCTGGCATTGCTGCTTCTCTGGATAGGGTCCCATACTCTGCTTTTCTCCCTTGATGGTTCAAGTGTCTTCCGGTCCTAGACTGCAAGATAAACCACTCCCTTCCTTTTGTTACAAAACTTCTACCTTTGCATTTGCAACATTCACAATCAGTCCTGATAGCAATTATTCACTATTGAACCACAAGAGTCTTATCCCCATCTTCTTTCACCAGCCCAGTCTAGACAGGTTGGAAACCACTCAGTGGAGATTCTACCTTCCCCCACACGCTCTGAAACTAGGCTCCTTCTTGAAAGTTTGTAAGCCAGTCACTTCATGCCTTGGTAGTCAATGTCTAAGTTGCCTATCCCTGTCAACCCTGTGTACCATTGGGGTGGGAATGATCCTTGTTTCAAATATTTGTTCCCTCCCTTTATATATTCTTTTTTTTTCTTTCCCTTATATAGTCTTGAGTGCGTAGTGGTTACGAATTAGGCTGTGAACCACAAGGTCAGCAGTTCGAAACTACCAGCTGTTCCACAGGAGAAAGATGAGGTGTTCTGCTCCCGTAAAGATATACAGCCTTGGAAAGCCTGTACAGGGTCTCTATGAGTCGATTCCGACTCTACAGCACATAACCACCACCACCATATTCTTGAGTCTAGTTCTGGACAGTATCGCACTGGTTAGATACTGTTGCTTTATACTGTGTTCTGTCTGGTGACGTGGAGAGAGTCAGAGACAGAACTAGAGAAAAAGATTCCCATTCCTTGCCTGTATTTTTGTAGCATTTTACTGGGTATTCTCTCCAATCTTGCACATAGACTTTGACATCATTTTCAGATTTGCATCCACAATGGGAACATTCATCCTCCATGACAGTGTGGAGAAGTGGGTCCACAAGAGACTGACTGACCTAAAGACTGGCTTATGAGAGCCATGACTGAGCATCCTTCTTGTTCACAGACAAAAACTGGGTGGTTCTACAGAACCAGAGCAGAGGATCCCTGGGAATTTGTGGGACTAGGTCATGGCATTCAAAGCTAACCTGTCTTCTCCCCCAATCCTAGGATATGAAGGACAGAATTTGGGGAAGATCCTAAAGGATTTAGAGATGAGTAAGGTGGTACATATGGATCGATGGTCTGTGGAGGTGATACCCAAGCAAACGGAAGAAAAGAGTGATCCAGTCCCTTTTCAAATCATCAATAACTACTTCTCCATCGGTGTGGTCAGTGGGATGGGACATGGCGGGCAGGGGCTAAGCAGAAAGTGAAGGCAGATGTTAAGGGAACTTAACACAGGGGAATTGGGTTGGGGGTACAGGGTGAATTGTAAGAAAAGAATTTAGGGCATGCACCTCCCAAACTAGAGAATTTTATGCTGAGAGAGCAGACAGGCTTCTGATCCTTCATGTCCTGAACCCCTTAGGATGCCTCTATTGCTCACCGATTCCACATCATGCGAGAGAAATATCCTGAGAAATTTAACAGCAGGTGAGGAAAAGGAGAGGGGATATGGAACAGTGGCAGGAACCAGCTTGTGGCCAAATTTGAATCAGAGTGCTTAGATGGGCAGGGAGCCTGCTACCCCCAACCAAAGTTACCTTTGTTACCATATGACTGGCATTGGGAGTGGATGCCCTCCCCTGTCACCCAGCCTACCTGTCAAACACTGTAACCTATCTCCTCCCTATTGGGCCATATGGTGGGGCATTCACAGAATGAAGAACAAGCTTTGGTACTTCGAATTTGCCACATCTGAATCCATCTTCTCAACATGCAAAAAGCTGGAGGAGTCTTTGACAGTTGAGGTATGTGTGATATGACTTACCTATCTCCTTTTTAGCCTCTTATGTCTTAAGTTTCTCCTGCCTCAGGCACCCACCCAAACTTCCCATATTCTTGAACCTATACTTCTTTGACCTTCTCTCAACTCTCTAACCCTTCCTTTCCAAGTCCTCGAGATATTCCAAGCCCCTATTTTCCTCCAAGTCCTGGCCTTCCTAGTTTGTCATCTGGTGAAGAGAGAGGTCATATCTATGATTATGCCATGAGGTGAGGATCTGTGCCCTCCCCAACTAGGGTTATTTCCCCCTCCCCTCAGATCTGTGGGAAACCCCTGGATCTGAGCAATCTGTCCTTAGAAGGCATTGCAGTGCTGAACATCCCTAGCATGCATGGTGGCTCCAACCTCTGGGGTGATACCAAGAGGCCCCATGGAGATAGCCAGATCAACCAGGCCCTTGGTGCTATATCTAAAGTCATCACTGATCCTGATATCCTGAAAACCTGTGTCCCAGGTGAGGAGAGCATACTTGAGAGCTGAGGGGGTAAGTGGGACTAAGGGGAAGACATGACTACCTCTGGGGACACCTTCTATAAAGTCTCTTCTACCTCCCATCCCCAGACCTAAGTGACAAGCGGCTGGAAGTGGTAGGGCTGGAGGGTGCAATTGAGATGGGCCAGATCTATACCAAGCTCAAGAATGCTGGACATCGACTGGCCAAGTGCTCTGAGATCACCTTCCAGTAAGGCAGTTTCTGGGCCAAAAGCCATGGGAGGGAGAAGGGTGAGGGTAGAAGGGTTTTGGGAATGGTAGGAAAGGGACTATTAGGAGATCTTCCTTACTAACAAAGGGTCCCAAAACCAACCTAAAAAGGAGAGTTTTGGTATTTGATTGGTAAAGAAGTCTGTCATATCTTTCCCCACAGCACTACAAAAACCCTTCCCATGCAAATTGACGGGGAACCCTGGATGCAGTCACCCTGTACAGTGAGTGTTGCCTTTACCTGCCAAAGATGGAATCCTCAGAATCCATGGACCCTAAATCTCCTCTATTCAATAGCTTTTCCTTTGTCCTGATGCCCAAAGTTCCCCTGTGCATCATTCCTCTCAAACCCCGATCGATTTCTTAGCCTCTTGAGGACCCTAGTGACCCCAGGACCACAAACCCAGGATCTGCCCTTAAATCTGGTCCAGGCCCAAGGTCCTACTTCTGAATGTGCTTCCTTCTCTTTCAGATCAAGATCACCCACAAGAACCAGATGCCCATGCTCATGGGCCCACCTCCTCGCTCTTCCAATTTCTTTGGCTTCTTGTCTTGAACCTGCCTTGGACCCACCTCCCCGTCTCTTGACTCCACCCCATAGGCTCTGTACATTGCTGCCACACCCTCCTGCCAACTCAGGCGAGTGTTCCTTCACCCTCACAGTATTTATTATCCTGCACCACCTCCACTCTTCACCATGTGCATGCACACACACATACACACACCACAGACACATACATTGAAAGTGCCTCATCTAAATAAAATGACTTTTTTCCCACCGGGATATCTGTTGATAAGTAAGTGGTACACCTCCTTCCTTCACACCTCTACTTACATGACATAGATTCTCACAAGAAGCAAGAACAAACAACATCAGGCTCTGAGTATTTAATTCAGGCAACAGTAGTCTTTAAGGGTAGACAAGAAAAGAAGATAGGAGTTGCTGCCAGATAAATCATGACACCACATGAGAGTACTCAGACCTGCTGCCCATTGAGGAGGGGGCTGTTTTCACCTATGGAACAAGGTCGGAAGACTTGGGGCAGACGTAGCCAATGGATTGCACCATGTGGCACCCGGGGAAGAGGGAAAGCTAAGCCCTGCTTCATAAATCTTCGCCTGATATTGGGAGATAAAGGGAGAAAACTGGTTAGCAACGGGCAAGGGCAGATCAATCTGTGCTTCTGCAAAGAAGGGGACACAGCTTCACCCCAGGTCTACTCAACTTCGATCTGTAGTCCCTCCCCTTCTCATTTCTAGGGTCATCTCTTGTTTCTGGTGTTTATCTCTATCTCCCCTCATTTTGTAAGTTTCCTTGCTTTGAGGAACTTGGCCAACCCAAACCTGGGGAATCGGCTTTTCTTGCAATTATTGTTGTTAAGTGCCATTGAGTCAGTTCCAACCCATATCGACCCTGTATAG